GGTCCGGACCAACGCAGCAGGAGTCATCATGAACGTCGTGGTCATCACTGCAGGTTCACTTCCTGTTTCCTGTCTGTACAACCTCCACTTCCTGTTTCATCAGAGGCTCTTCTGTTCTGAAACTTCTACAAACCTTCAGGTTCAGAAAAGTTCAGGAAGATTTCTGATGACATCATCTGAACCCTGGTCCAGTCCTGGTCCTGGTCCAGTCCTGGTCCAGTCCTGGTCCAGTCCTGGTCCGGTCCTGGTCCTAGTCTAGTCCTGGTCCGGTCCTGGTCCTGGTCCAGTCCTGTTCCAGTCCTGGTCCTAGTCTAGTCCTGGTCCAGTCCTGGTCCTGGTCTAGTCCTGTTCCAGTTCTGGTCCAGTTCTGGTCCAGTCCTGGTCCTGGTCTAGTCCTGGTCCAGTTCTGGTCTAGTCCTGGTCCAATCCTGGTCCTGGTCCAGTTCTGGTCCAGTCCTGGTCTGGTCCGGGTCCTGGTCCAATCCTGGTCCAGTCCTGGTCCTGGTCTAGTCCTGGTACAGTTCTGGTCCAGTTCTGGTCCATTCCTGGTCCAGTTCTGGTCCATTCCTGGTCCTGGTCCTGTGCAGGCCTGGTCCAGTCCTGGCAGTCCTGGTCCAGTTCTGGTCCAGTCCTGGTCCTGGTCTAGTCCTGGTCCAGTCCTGGTCCTGTGCAGTCCTGGTCCAGTCCTGGTCCTGTCCTTGTCCTGGTCCAGTCCTGGTCCAGTCCTGGNGCCCACAGTTGGGCCGCGGCCCATGGGTTGAGAAAATCTGCTTTAAAGGAGGGATTCAGAGGTCAGGGTCAAAGACAGGTGGAACGTTTACTCCACCCCAGCTGACCACTACACACTTTAATATATTTATAATCATTACAACCAGAAGAAACATGGTTTTACACTCCTTACGCCACCTCTACTTTTAAATCAGTACTTTTATACTTTAAATGGTTTTAAATCAGTACTTTTATACTTTAAATGGTTTTAAATCAGTACTTTTATACTTTAAATGGTTATAAATCAGTACGTTTATACTTTAAATGGTTTTAAATCAGTACTTTTATACTTTAAATTGTTTTAAATCAGCATGTTGAGTGGATACCTTACACTCAAGTTGTTTTACTTGTTGAGTCATGGAAGTGAAACAAACTGATGTTTGTGTTTTCCTGCAGGAGCTCACGCTCTCCTGCCTCTGGTCCCTACACTGATCCTGAAGCTCAGACAGGAGGAGGAGGAGGAGCAGGAGGAGGTGCTGCTCCTCTCCATCCTCAGCTGCTGCTCCCGGGTCGACGCCCTGCCGGCTCTGGCCTCAGGTGGAGTGTCTCTGCTGGGCCACAAACTGGCCCACAGGTCCCTGAGGGTCCGCAGAGAGGCAGCTGCAGCCCTGATGGCCCTCAGGTGTGTGTGTGTGTGTGTGTGTTTGTGTGTGTGTGTGTGTTTGTGTGTGTGTGTGTGTGTGTGTGTGTGTGTGTGTGTGTGTGTGTGTGTGTGTGTTCCTGACTGTCTCTCATGTCCTCAGTGTTCCTCTGGACGGGAAGCAGCAGGTGTGTGAGCAGCAGCTCCTTCCTGACCTGCTGGATCTGCTGCAGGATGAAGACCTGGAGGTCCGGACCAACGCAGCAGGAGTCATCATGAACGTCGTGGTCATCACTGCAGGTTCACTTCCTGTTTCCTGTCTGTACAACCTCCACTTCCTGTTTCATCAGAGGCTCTTCTGTTCTGAAACTTCTACAAACCTTCAGGTTCAGAAAAGTTCAGGAAGATTTCTGATGACATCATCTGAACCCTGGTCCAGTCCTGGTCCTGGTCCAGTCCTGGTCCAGTCCTGGTCCAGTCCTGGTCCAGTCCTGGTCCAGTCCTGGTCCAGTCCTGGTCCGGTCCTGGTCCTAGTCTAGTCCTGGTCCGGTCCTGGTCCTGGTCCAGTCCTGTTCCAGTCCTGGTCCTAGTCTAGTCCTGGTCCAGTCCTGGTCCTGGTCTAGTCCTGTTCCAGTTCTGGTCCAGTTCTGGTCCAGTCCTGGTCCTGGTCTAGTCCTGTTCCAGTTCTGGTCCAGTTCTGGTCCAGTCCTGGTCCTGGTCTAGTCCTGGTCCAGTTCTGGTCTAGTCCTGGTCCAATCCTGGTCCTGGTCCAGTTCTGGTCCAGTCCTGGTCTGGTCCGGGTCCTGGTCCAATCCTGGTCCAGTCCTGGTCCTGGTCTAGTCCTGGTACAGTTCTGGTCCAGTTCTGGTCCATTCCTGGTCCAGTTCTGGTCCATTCCTGGTCCTGGTCCTGTGCAGGCCTGGTCCAGTCCTGGCAGTCCTGGTCCAGTTCTGGTCCAGTCCTGGTCCTGGTCTAGTCCTGGTCCAGTCCTGGTCCTGTGCAGTCCTGGTCCAGTCCTGGTCCTGTCCTTGTCCTGGTCCAGTCCTGGTCCAGTCCTGGTCCTGGTCCTGGTCCTGATCCAGCCCTGGTCCAGTCTTGGTCCAGTCATGGTCCTAGTCCAGTCCTGGTCCAGTCCTGGTCCTGGTCCAGTTCTGGTCCAGTCCTGGTCCAGTCCTGGTCCTAGTCCAGTCCTGGTCCAGTCCTGGTCCAGTCCTGGTCCTAGTCCAGTCCTGGTCCAGTTCTGGTCCAATCCTGGTCCAGTCATGGTCCTGGTCCAGACCTGGTCCAGTCCTGGTCCAGTCCTGGTCCTGGTCCTGGTCCAGACCTGGTCCAGTCCTGGTCCAGTCCTGGTCCTGGTCCTGGTCCAGACCTGGTCCAGTCCTGGTCCTGGTCCTGATCCAGTCCTGATCCAGCCCTGGTCCAGTCTTGGTCCAGTCCTGGTCCTGGTCCTGGTCCAGTCCTGCATGCTTCAGATGGACCTGGTTTAAATAAAGTGTGAAAAACAGGACTGTGCAGAACATGAAGAGCAGTGAAACATGCAGGATACTGGTCCTCCAGGACTGGACCAGGACCAGGATCTGATGTCCACCTTGTCGACTGGTGAGACTCTCAGGGTTCAGGATCAGAGGAGATCAGATCTTAGACCTGCAGAGAGTCCACCTGCACCATGTGACCTGAGGCTCCTCCCCCTGCAGGTAAACTCCTGAGTCTGGACGTGAAGGTCCTCCCGGTCCTCCTGGACCTGCTGTCTGAGAGCCCCGAGGAGGAGGAGGAGAGGAGGAGGAGGAAGGCTCTGGTCCTGTACCTCCTCCGGGCTCTGACCTCGCTGGCTGAGGCTCCGGTGGGCCGACGCCTCCTGCAGGAGCAGCTCCCCCTGCTGGAGAGGAGGAGCCAGGACCAGGACCAGGACATCAGGAGGGCCGCTCAGACCACCATCAAGGTGGTCACCTGGACTCCTTGAGTCGGCCTCGACCTTTGACCTCTAGGGTCACATCAGTTGAAGAAAAACAAACATTTTAAAAGATTTTTAATGTTTTAAAGAATAATATCTGTTGTTTTCACTGATCTTTGATGTTTAAACATCAAAGGGTTTAAGTGAACCTGGATTAAACCAGGTTCACTTAAACCTGAACCTGTTTCCTGTTTTTGTTTTCATTGATCTTTGATGTTTAAAATGTTTAGATTTAAATTCTCTGTGAAATGATAAAATATGAAAAGATTTAATTAATGAGAAGTCTGACTCTGGATTAAAGGTTCAGGTTTAACTGAACCTGGATTAAACCAGGTTCAGTTAAACCTGAACCTGAACCTGTTTGTTGGTTAGCAGGTTTCATGGACCCCCTGAGGACAGGGGTCAGAGTTCTGGGTCGGGACCTGCTGCTCTGATTGAAGCTCTTTAAGGCCGTCAGCTCAGAACACAGAGGAGTGTTTAGATCTGAGCTCCAACAGAACCTCTGTCAGGTTCTGGTTCTGTTCTGAAAGTCTGGTTTTAACACAACAGTTTTTATTAGAAACACAGGAGAGAAGCTTCATCATCAGCTGGGAGTGGAACCCTGTAGAACCCAGCAGAACCCTGTAGAATCCAGAAGAACCCTGTAGAATCCAGCAGAACCCTGTAGAACCCAGCAGAACCCTGTAGAACCCAGCAGAACCCTGTAAAACCCAGCAGAACCCTGTAGAACCCAGCAGAACCCTGTAGAACCCAGCAGAACCCTGTAAAACCCAGCAGAACCCTGTAGAACCCAGCAGAACCCTGTAGAACCCTGTAGAACCC